TACAGAATTCTGCTCTTCAACAAACCATATTATGAGTTTCCTGGGTGTATTTTATTGACTAGCTCATTACACAAAATCCTAGAAGAACAAGATGTGCTGAATGACCTTTAAAAAGCCTCTTTTTAATTTTGACAGATTAAAATGGAAGTAGTTACCTTTGCTTGCTTTTCAATTCCAGGTCAGCTGCTGTTGCTACACTGTGGCGGGTGTCACTAGAAGCAATCACTAGGTGGAGAACAGCTTCGAGTTCAGGCACCTGTTCAGCTTCTATGAATTTCACTATACCTAATTTGCACTGTAGATAAATCACGGAAGGGAAAATAGTCATCAGGAAAACAAAGAACAGACACCAAACTGTTGTTCAACCAAGGGTGGTCACAAAAGAAAAATGAATAGTAGCAACAGCAGTTCTTACGTAGGCTCAGTTTATGATGTGCCATGGCCTGTACTAGACCATAAATAGTCATGATTTCATTTAACCCTCACAATCTATGAGATACTATGTAATCAATTTCCAGAAGTGGAAATTGAGGCAATGCTTAAGAGATTAAATCATACATAGTCAGTAAGTGATAAAACAGGATTCAGACACAAGTCTCGCAATCTCCATGATCACTGTACACAAGGCCTCTCTTCCTATATAACAAAGCTCCTCTAGTGTGATGAGGCCTTGAATTCCAAATTTGGAACCTCCAAGTAGAAGGGTAGAACATTAGGAATAAAGTGTTCCAGGAATTTTTGTGACAGTTCAAATGGCGCTAAAGAACTCTACTGTTTCATTCTATTGTTAACATATTGCTTCTTATCCTCTGAGTTAGAGGATACTGTTGACATCTAATTCTTACCCTCTATATGCTTGCACACTAAAAGAAAGGAAACAGAATTTCAAGTGCAGGCTATTAAACAGAAAGTGCAATCTGATCATACCTTCAGTGCAGTTTGGCTGAAATGAAATGCTGACTAAAGAAAAAGAATCTGCTTAGAACTTTAAACAATATAAACTTGTGATAAATTTCACTACAAACATCCTCAGTTACTAAAAATACCCCTGCAAATTAAAATTTTATCTTTGCCTTAAAAAAGTCACTGTATACTAATTCTAACACGATTAATTGCTAAATAAGAAAGAATGCGACTTATAAAGCATGTGAAAAAGCGTACGAAAAGCAGACGTCAATCTTTTACTTGAGCCATGAAAAGGGCAGTCGTGAAAGCCAAGGACACCAAGATATGCAACCCCAAATGTGCAAATTAAAATGGAAAACGCAACAGCCACCCAACAGGAAACTTTTCAGAATAGTATATGGTTTACATGGAATTGCAATTTTATGCAGACATTTAGAAGGAGATAAAGAAAAAGAAATTTTATCCATGACGCTAAATAGTGCATTCTAGCATTCCAACATCAAGACAAACTCTGCCCTCGAGTTGATTCCGACTCATAGTGGCGTATAGAGGAGAGGGCAGAACTTCCCCTAAGGGTTTCTAAGACTAGCTTTATGGAAGTAGAAGTATAAAATTGATTAAAGGCATAGAGGCCTTTTGAAATCAGTCGATCGTAACCCACAAAATATCACAGTGCAAAGTTAAAAACGATAGCCCTAGCCTTGCACTAGGAGGCCATGGTGAACCTAGTGAATCTCTCTAGGTCTTTGGCTCCTTTTACAAAAGGATACTAACAATGTCTATGCCTCATGGAGTTATGTGAGGATTAAAGGAGACAATGCACTTAAGAGTACTCAGTACAGTGGCTGTCACACAGAACACAGAGTCGATAAAGGATCTGCTACTATTCAATTTCTTACCTAATGGTCTGAGAAGGAAAAGAAAAGGATCTATAAAATATGAGGTATAGTAAAACAGTTGTAACTCTCACTGAGCAAATCATTCTATAAATTTGTTAGGAGCCAAAATTCCCCACCCCTGGCTCCGTTTTCCCTCTCCTGGGAACACTAGTTTGATCAATGGCCACTTACATTCCAAGAAGAAAGGATCAAATCTTTAGACTGCCATGGATAGATAAAGGAAGGATTGGAGACTAACCCATGTTGCTTGAATTCCAAAATAATTACACACTGATCTCATCTGTTCTTCCCTGAGGTGCCTGATGGCACAGACACAGTGAGGCACCGTCTCTGTAGAGCACCAGGCATTTTTAAAAGCTGCTCAGAGAACATCTGTGTCCTGTTTAAATCCAGAACAAAATGCTTAATGCCCATTTGTACATTTCCAAGAAGAAATATAAAAGGGAGTCATGCTTTTCTCCCACATTGTCAATTCTGAAATATAGGGAGCTCTTTGTTTTGCACAAAATGTACAGCCCTAAAAAGTTGAGAAGTATAAGGCAAGTTGTATTTTAAGTGTACCAAAGGAGCTAAATGATTATTAAACCTATTAATTAAAAACTAAAATGAAATTAGTTAAATTTACTCCATTTGTAAGTAGGTTGTTTAGAAATATGTAAACAGTATTGGACAAACTAAAGAGCATCTCCCAGTCCTCCCTCCCTAGGGCTTTCACAAAGAGCTGACATGATGGACAGAGCACATCACATCGCATGCTCCTTCCAACGTAAGTCAATAGAGTCTGCATACACTAGAATCATGTTATGCATGCTTCCATGAACTTCACAGGGGCAAGTGCACAAGGTTAAGTTCCATTATGAAGGAGTATGATACCTGTTCCAACTGTTCAGGTGTCCAAGGGTTATCGCCAATAACTCGCTTTGCTGCATAAAAGCTCATTCCTGGAGGAGGCTGTGGGATTCCAGAACCTCCTCCACTATTTGAAGAAGAACCCTGTGCTGAAGATGAGTTCTGGCGACTCTGAGATTCATTTAACACATATCTGGGGAAAAAATAAAACGTTAACCCCTCTATAAAAACACATGAACACAAACACACACGTAGGACATTCCATTATATACATCCTCTTATAATACTTTTCATTTGAAATTAAGATTTAATCTTAAAAATACTTTGAGATCTCTAAAAATGGCATCTAAATCTTTAACACATTGATACAAATGAATATACATTGTTCACTCCCAAGCTATAAACTATTGGTGTACAAGCCACTATGATCTTTTTGGATTTTGAATTGCCACGTTGGCAAACACAGAGACAATTTTGTTACACAAAACCCTTAAAATAGAAAAGTGTGTGTGGGGAGGAGGGTCAGAGTGGGCACAAGAGAGCCATTAGCTTTTCTTATTTTATATTCAAAGTCCTTTGTAGCTACTTATTTATTAATTCATTATCCTATTCCATTTTTAGCTCCTTTAGTTTAGAAATAAGATCTCTGGTAAATTCATTTTGATCCAATTAAACTGCTATTTCTCATTCACAAAATTGAAATTTTAATATACTTTTCATTCAAACCCTTTTGAAATCTAAAATTCTAAGCTGATGAATTCTACCATCACACTCAATGTTAAAATAACATCATTTTTTAAAAAAATAAAACAATGCTTGGAGCCTAATAGCATAGTAAATTATTCTACATTATTTATATGCTATATCACTTATATGCTATATCCATTCAATTCTTAAAATCACATATTTTTTAAAATGCAATACCCATTAAAGAATCCATTTACATTTTTATAGAACATACAGGCCTGCAGAGGAGAGAAACAGTAAAGAATGGCTGCATTGTGGGCTAGTTGAGATGGAGTCCTTCGTGCCAAATTTATACTATCCATTACATTTTTGATCAGGGAATAAGCATGAAAAAAAGAAGCATTTTAGGAAAATTAGTGCAGCATCCAGGCAATCTACAAAAGAAATAGGCTGGAGACAGAGCACAGCCTATGTACTATATCAGAGACCAACTCACTCACTCAGTAGTCAGCGAGTCAATTCTGACTCATTTCAACTCAGTACAACCCTATAGGACAGGGTAGAATTGCCTCTGTGGGTTTCAGAGACTATAACTCTGTACAGGAGGAGAAAGCCTCGTCTTTCTCCCAAGAAGCAGCTGGTGGTTTCAAACTGTTGACCTTCGCGGTTAGCAGCACAACATGTAACCTACTATGCCACCAGGGCTCTTACCAAGGACCAAAGATAGAACCTCACAGTCATTAAATAAGGCAGACACAACAATAAAAGCACAAAACAGCAACATAGATATGTTTGTGTTCAGTCAAGAAGATCCAGAAAGTAGTACAATTAAGTCAGTCTAGGGTAGGAAACTTATGTGAGACGCTCGTAGGTGGCATCTCGGCTAGCTGGGGAAGCTTTTCCCAGGTGCTTTGCTTGTTTGTTTGTTTGTTTGTTTGTTTGTTTGTTTGTTTGTTTTTCTCTTCTTTAAATGTGGAGCATTCTTGCAAAGAAAACGTCATGAAATTATGATTTATGGCTGGCAATAGTATCTACAGCTTGTTAACGTGAGTTGGTAAGATCTGCGTTTTTAAAAGGGGAAGCTCTAGTACGCATGTTCACTCATGTATCAGCAACAGCCAAGGGTGGAAACAGCCCAAGTGTCCATCAACAGGTGAAGGGAAAAACAAATTGTGCTATAAATTATAACCCCCTCCCAGGGATAGGGACAACAGAAAAGTGGGTGAAGGGAGACACCGGTCAGTGTAAGACATGAAAAAAATAATAATAATTTATAAATTATCAAGAGTTCATGAGGGAGGGAGGATGGAGGAGGGAGAGGGAAAAAATGAGAAGCTGATACCAAGGGCTCAAGTACAAAGAAAATGTTTTGAAAATGATGATGGCAACAAATGTACAAATGTGCTTGACACAATGGATGGATGTATGGATTGTGATGAGTTGTATGAGCCCCAATAAAATGATTTTTTTTTAAAGAAATGCAAAAAAAAGTGCTATATACATACAATGGAATATTGTTTGGGTTTAAAGAGAAATAAAGCTATGATTAAATCTATTATAAAAACAATTCTTAAAAATATTTTAAGTGAAATCAAACACAAAAGCATAAATACTCTAGGAAATATCAAGAACAGGCAAAGACATACTGACAAAATCGTATCTGTGGCTACCAAGAGTGGGGAATGGGAAGTATAATTCTTAAGGGGCTCTGAGTTTTCATTTTGAGTGGCCAAAAACTTTTGAAACAGAATTATAAGCATGAAAGCGATTGAAAGGGCAAATGTTTTGTGAAACATATACCTATGTACTCGAGTATAAGCTGAGTTTTTTTCAGCACATTTTTAATGCAGTTTCTGTGTTAAAAGTAGGTGCCTTGGCAGATAATCGGGTCGGTTAATACTCGAGTATATACGGCAAATTTTGCTGTTGTTTCTATTGTTGTGTGGTGTTGTCAATTCCAATTCATAGTGACTCTATGACAGAATAGAATTGTCAACTCAGGTCTCCACACAAGGCTGTATTCTATATGGGAGGAGCCCTGCTGGCACTGTTGAGTAAGCTGCTGGACTGCTAACCACAAAGTTAGTGGTTCAAACCCATCAGCCGCTCCTTGGAAGAAAGATGAGGCCATCTGTTTCCATAAAGACTGATAAAGTCTTGGAAACCCTATGCAGTGGTGCTGAGTTGGAATTGACTCAATGTCAGTGGTTTGGGAAAATGGTAAGGGAGCAGACACCAGGTGTTTTTAGCCATGAAGCTGCTAATGGGTTCTAACTGCCAACTTTTGGGTTAGTGGTTGAGTGCTTAATCTTTGTACCACCAGAGGTCCTTACATAAATTTTATCACAGTATTTTTAAAGAGAAAGGAAGCTCTGTGACAAAGGACTGAGAAGTAGCTAAGGAGGGGGAAAAAATCATGATGCGCTGGGGGAAAAACAACCCCCAAAAAAGTAGATAGTAGGAATGGTTGCAGGACACCTCAAAAAAGGAGGAATAGAAAAACCATTTGGCTCGAGACACTTTTTCTTTTTTAAGGTGCTAAAATACAGGAAGGCATGTTCTGTAAACTACTCAAATTACAAAAGGAAGTAAAAAACAGGCAACAAGAGCTTGGTAACTACTCCGATTACTTTGGCAACAAAAGAAAGGAAAAGTGGAGGCAATTTACAAGTACGCGCCTAGTTAGGTAGAATCATCCCAGCACTGACGGTAATTACAGAAGGCAATCAATTTTATAGGGAAGAATAGATTTCAACTTGGATGGGTTGGGTCTGAAATCACAACAGCAAACTCTGCCACAAATAAGACCAATAAACAGCGATGCCAGCGTTTATAAGAGATAAGGGCTATCGCTAAAGAGCTGAGGATCCATTCACAACAAGTGAGAGTTGAAATATTCGAACCACTGTTTGTCATCACTGAGTCAACCCCACTGAAACAAAGTTGGCCAGATTTGCTTTTATTTTTCACTTACCCATAAGGCATCAGAAGGACATCTAGCATGAAGTCCAAAAGCAGCTGCACAGTCTTTGGTTTCTCAGCAAGATTAAAGGGAGAAGCTGATTTTGATGATTCAACAGGGTATTTCATGTGAAAAAGGGTTGGTATTAAAAGATGCATTAAGCTGAAAAACAATTACATTTATTGCAACTACTTTTAAAAACAGGTTTTTATAATGCAAATAACAAACAAAGCAAAAACCTCACAGCAAAAACTGGTATTTTAGCAGGAGTCATCCATTTTCAATACCTTTAATTTATAAAGTGCTAGTCTAGGGGCTGGAATAAAGATGAGGCTTTCTACTCCCGTAAACAGCCAGTCTTAGAAACCCGCAGGGGAAGTGCTATCTTGTCCTGTAGGGTTACTATGAGTCGGCCTCGACTCAATGGCAGTGAGTAGGTCCAGGGACTGGCCTAGATTTTTTCCTCATTGAAAGTACACTGATTGATAATTGGCATTTAGCTTTTATGACTCATCTCTAAAAATACCTGAGGGTAGGGGGAAACTAATATGGACACAGTATTAATATTTCAAGTTATCATAAGTGGTTCTATAGTAAATCTTAGCTAAAGTTCAATTTTAATATGCACTCACTTTTCTTCCATACAGAGTTAATTAAAATGAAATTATTCTAAAGAAATCAAAAATACTCAATGTCAATATTTTGAATACAATCTTAAAAGTTCTGTGTAAATCAAAGTAATAGCTTCAGTAATTCCTTCTGTCACTATATCATTTGATATCCTTAAAAAGATACATTAAAACAATTTCAAACAATGTTTGCAATGTCTATTAATTTTACTTGCAAACACATGCATTATGTCTTTTCATCAAAAGAGAGTATGCTCTAAAAAATTAACTAAAACACTTATCTCTAACTTTCCTCCACACTTTCTACACATTGTAATGATTCTCAACACCAAAAACTAGAAATGAATTGTTGACTAAACCTAGAAAGGGCACGTTATCATCCAAATTTTGTAATTTCTCCAGCTTCCATATTAATACAAACTACTGCTCTGCTTCCTGATAAAACTTCTCTGAAACTTTCTATCCTGCAAGACAGAAATGCTTTAATGAAAGCCCTTTGTAACACTAATTTTCACAGCCACATAAAATTAACTGCTTCAAAATAACTACCCAAAAATACTATCTTTGGATTAATTCTGCACGTTTTGCAACTGTGGACACATCAAGAAATGTTACCGTAGCATTAAACCCAACAGTACCTCTGAGTTACCACAGAACATACAATTACTTGTGAACTGAGGAGGTCAGACTTTCACACTTGTACAAAGGAGAACTACTGTGCGGACTTATTCTGAGTGGCAGTGGTGGGTCCTGCAGGCAGGGAGATGGGATCACTGAGAACACACCTATCTTGCTGCGGCTGAGGCTTCCCTTCCATGGCAGTAAGAAGCGTAGGGGCGAGTTCACACTGCTTTTCCACTGGCAAGCGAGGGTAGCCCATCTTAACATAAATTATAGTAAAATTCTAATGCAGTAAGAAAAGAAAAAAAGCAAGTGAGTTTGAAAGAGAAATTCTACATGGCTTCAATGAAAGTAGTATAATTATAGCTGTAACAAAGAACTCATAAGCATGAATCATCATTCACATGTTCATTACTTGTGCAACTCATGTATCTTGAAGAAGCAATTCCAGTCCCGTTTATTTAAAATGTTTACTTTAGGATGGGCTTCAAACAAGAAAGCATGACCTAAAATCACTAAGAAGTAATAATTTGACCTACGTAACTCTACACACCAAGCAATGGTATCAGATCTCCCATAATTGCATCAATCCTATACGCTGGAATGAACATGACTTGGCTAATTAAACCCTAGGTTGACATTTCCCAACTGGTCAATTAATTAAAACAATTCAATTTCACTGCAACTTTTCAGATTCCTCTACTCCAAGAGCACATGCATGAATGACGAAGCAAGGGAAGCTGAGTCTCGTGGAAGTATCTGTATCGCCGCAATCCATGGGAATGTAGTATTTTAAGCAAACCCACACATGCATATCCAGAATTATACATGAGGATGTGATTTGCTTCTCCATAATACTCTTCATTTTAGAATAAGCTTCAGAAGATTATTCCTTTAAGTACAAATTACTAGGTAAAGTTTAATTGGCACAAATGTTTTCATTTGCTGAAAGCACGGAATACCTATAATAGAGCTGTATGTGCCCACCACCACACACAGGATATCAGGTCCAGAAAGTGATTCTAAAGGTTGGTTACTCCAGACATTGGATAAGAACCATGAGACTCTGCCCCAATGCTAGGAACTACAAGGGTCATAAAGAGAAATCATTTGTCATCACACAACACCAAAATTTTTCATATCTAATCTTCATGAAAACAATCTGATCTAAACTCCTATTAAGAATGCATCTTACTAATTGAATACACATCAAAAACTCTAAATACTTTTTAATCCAAACTTTCATATATCTTCTTGCCATTTTACCGCTTTTACCATCTTCATTATTTTATGTTCATGCCCACGCTACAAAACTCTGCTCTCTCTGTTCTGAATGTTCCCAAACAATCTTTGACTAAGAAATAAATCATTCTTTTATGCATCAACATACCTGACAACTCATTTTACTAACATTTCTTTTCCCGTGCAAACAATCACTCATTTCCCTGTTCCTACCGCTTCCTTTAAAGGTGGTATTTCATACAGATGTGTACTCTATGAGAAAGTACATGTCATTTAAAAAAAACAACACATATTTCAAATATTATAATTATAAAGTAAAATTCTAATCTTGCCAATATACTGATAATTTCTAATAAAGATTATGAAAGAAAACTTCATTTAAGGCAGAAAATATTTTAAGGTAACACTTACTGTGACAAAGGAAACTGCAGCTGGGTCCTGATACTGAACCAACAGTGTCTCCACTGGGAGCTGTATTTTGGGGCGGCTTTTTATACGCTTATTCAGATGAACCAACAGTTCCATTACCTAAGAGAGGTATGAGCTCAAGTTATGAATCCTACTTTAAAACAAATTCATTTTATTGGATCTTATTTATTTTAATAATTAGTAGCTACTTGGTTCTTTTAAAAGATGCAAATTTTACAAGCCAGAAAAGAAATATGGACTATCAGTCTTGTTCAAAATGCTATCCCAAAAATCCAAGTGCTAGGACTTTACTAGTTCGTTTAATTTTATAAAGTCTGACACGTAATCACAGGAGAAAGATGAGGCCGTCTGCCCCCCTAAAGATCGACAGCCTTGGGAAACCCAGGGGAAAGTTTAACTCTGTCCTATAGGGTTGCTATTGGGGGGGGGGGGGGAGAAGACGGGGCTTTCCACTCTCATTAACAGTTGTAGTCTCAGAAATGCACACGGGCAGCTCTCCCCTGTCCTAGAGGGTCACTATGAGTCGGCATCGACGTGATGACAGTGAGTTGAGTGATAAGGGTTACTATGAGTCACAATCCACTCGACAGCAATAGTTTCTATTTTTGGAGTTCACTTAATCAAAACTGAGGTCAAGATATACTGAAGCTGAGTCCCTAAAAGGAAGATGTGTGAACAAATCATTACAACACACACCATGAATACCACAGAAAGATAAATCGACACAATGCTATGGGTTTCCACAAGAAAGAGTCGTCAAATCAAGGACTTAATTAATGGATGGAGGAAGTAACAGGAACATTAAGTCCCAAGAACAAGTCAATTTCAAGCAGAAAACCTGCTCCAAGAAGATCCAAGCCTTGGATTCAAAGTCACAGAGAAGGGACCAGACAGAGCTTCCAAAACTATAAATCTTTAAAGGTGTAGAAAGCTTCTTCTTTATTCCACAAAACAGCTAGTGGTTTCAAACTGCTGACCTTGAAGCCACAGCCTAATGCATAGCCCATTATGCCACCAGGATACACAATGGTAAAAGATAAAAGCAGGACTCAGGTAACCAAAGGATTCAAGTTCGATGCTGAGGAATTTTCACTTTATCCTGAAGATCCACTGATTCAATTAAAGAGTGTTAAAAAATAAATAAAAGCTTCCTTTCCTGCATATGAAGACAAGGTCAAAATAGAAGTCGAAAATTCAGTAATGCCCACAGACAGAAAGGAAGCTACAGAGGCTGTGTATAATGACTACAATGGGTCAGGTTATCTGCTAAGAGAAGAAACTGACCATTGAGGGTGCGGGGAGGGGGTGTTATAATGATTTTTGAAAGATTCAGAAACCCTCATTTAAGGCTTTAGAATTCTAGCTCAAGCTACACTGGAGGGCCAAGCCTAAACTACTCCCATCTCTTCTGAAATGCATGGTCTAGCATCAAAGTAGACATTAAGGAGTGCTCTTGGGACGTCCAAGGAAGTGACAGCCGATGCCGAAAGGGTTCTAGAGCAGTCGCAACGAAACACGTGAAGGTAGTTTAAATATGAAAACAAATCGATAATCAATTAAGTGAAGAATGATAATAGTGTCTGGCATTTATCAGTTTCTATGTAATAGGCATTTTGCATTCCATAACAAATCTGATTCTTTAACTCATCTGATCCAATGAGGTTGTATTTTTGCTTTTCTTTTACAGATCAGGAAGCAGAGGCTGAGGACAGTGAAGTGCCCTGTTTAAGGATATAGAGTCAGGACATGGTACAGTCAAATATAGGACAAAGAGTGTCCCAATCCTTCTTGCATACCTAATAGACATCCCCCCCCCACCTTTTTTTTTGTTTGCATTAAAAGGGTTGAATAGGTTTATTTAGCTCCAACAGCCACTACAAAGACTGACTCATTTAGATTCTAAGACAGTTTGGAAGGGCTCCATCTCCGTTGCTTTGGAGTTGGAGTTCCAACCAGGAGGGTCCATTCAAAGTAAGACACCCACTACGATTCAATCTCATGTGTTATAAAGTAGAACTGAGACCCACAGGGTTATCTTGGCCATAGTCTTAATGGAAGCAGACTGTCAAACCCTGCTTCTCTGATGCCACTGGATGGGCTTGAATCACCAACCTTTTACTTAGTAGTACAGAAAAAAAATTGTTTGCAGAGTAACTTATTCTTTAATTATTTAATTCCATAATTCCACTTAACACCGTTTCATTGACATATAGTTCATATACTATACAATCAGTGATTTAATCATATTAAAGAGTTGTGCAAACATCACCACAATCAATTTTGGAACATTTTCTTCATTTTCATACGCATTTATTATTCGCTCACCATTACCCCTCAACCTTCCCTGCTATATAACCCTAAGTAACTTTTCATAATAGACATTCTTAAAGAGTCTCTTTCTCCAAAGAACTCAAATCAGGATACAGAATCCTTTTCAGGATAAATATCCAGGAGGCCATATTGTTTTTCAAATGTATCGATCAAGCCCCAGGCCTCCTAGAATCTCTACTACTTGTATCTGACACTGATGCACGTATATAGTGGGTGCTAGATGTAGCTTCCTTCTTAGCATATCATGAAAGCTGGTCCTAAGTCGAATTCTCCATTGAGAGCGTCACAATAAAGATAAAGTAAGTAGATTTCAACAATGAGAACAAAAAAATTACTTCATAGTACTCAAGGGTAAGTCAGAAAGTATTGCTACACAAGCATAGATCCCTTTATTAAACTGAAATACCAAAATGTGGGGCTACCGTGTTTCAGCATACCCTACCCTCCATCTATGTCTATAAAGATTGAAGGCAGCATTTCTATTTCTCTAACTTCCTGAAGGTTTTACACCACACCGTGACAAGGGCACTTTTAACATTCTCAGAGATTGAAATTGCTCCTTTTCAATATTCTTTGAATTGGAGGGAAAGAAATCGGAAGGGAGAGTATTATGGCTGGCTGTAGAATGGATGGGGTAAAGTGTCCCAATACAATTCTATAGGACAGCCCTTGCCACCCTCAAAGAAGGAGCAGGTGTACTGTCGTGATGGAAAATCATTCCTCAGTGCAACTTTCCAGGATTTTTTCTCACCAGTGTAGCTTTCAATTTTTTTCAACTTTCTTTTTTTCTCAACTTTCTTATAAGCCTCATGATAGCCTTTTATCCCTCAAGAAAATCTATTACGATTACCTCTTTGAAATGCCAAAAAAACAGCTGCCACAACCATCTGAATTGACATCTCTGCCCAGAATTTAACTGACCCAACAGATTCCCTTGGAAGTTCCTGTTTTGATTAGACATTTTTTTAATAAAGGCACCCTAATAAAACTACCGTGTTACTAGGCAACTTGTCTGCAGCCATCCACTGATTGCAAAGACATGTTTAAACATGTTTTGTTGGGAATTTGGAATAAGCCCATGAATGTCTGAACGGGAACCCACCCCCAGTCGCAATACTTTTTTACTTACTCTGGTATATCCATTAATTCACCACAATTCCCCCAACTAGCGGGACATACTTACCTTTTTCCGTACTCCTTCCTGGGTGCTAGACAATTTGAGCAAAACAGGAGGAAGGAATTTAGATATAATATTCTGTAACTGTTCATCTGTTTCAGCATGGCCAAGTCGTAAAAAGACCCGTTCAAGCTGATCTATAATACAAAAAGAAAAGAGAGAACCTAGCACATCACACATAACCAAGATCAGTAATTTTTATTGTTAAATTCTTTATTTCTATATCACAGATCCTTTCATCAGAGGTTTAACATAGTTGGCCCTATATGCAGCTGATTTTAACTCAGCTATGAAACATCAACTAATTCTATTGCTACAACTGTTGAGGTCATGCAAAAATCAATCAAAGTACCTCCTATGGAGTGCTGCAGATCCTCTAAGTTACTTGAGTGCTAGGGAGAACACACGGTTTGCAGGTACCTTCTAGGACTAACTAGCAGAGTATAGCAGAACTCTTATCAGAGGCCTTCTGACTAATGAAGCTTCAGCAGAAACAGAATCGCTGCCCATTACTATGCTGAGGCAAGAAAGTAAGGGACTTGTCTCCACCGAGAAAGTCATTGCTATAAAAGCATGTTAAGCAACACCATGAAATGTTCTTTGCAAAACCAAACTGTAATTAAGTATATAATAAGCAAACTGCTTCTTCAAATATACTGTAGGGCTGCAAAAAGGGAGGGAAGGTATAGGCAAAGGGGTAAATAAATATAGACTTAAGCTATACATCAAGCAATGGCACGGACTGGGTACTGATATAATTATTGTTAATATTTCAGGTGTGATAATGGGGGGAGGGAGAATACAGTCGGCCTTGAAAATCAGTTGCAATGAAATCAACATTGACTATTAAAGATAATGACTGTTCAAGTTGAATGAAATTTAGATTTCAGGTGGTACCCACCATCTCCCAAAATGCTAGCTCACTGTGCCCTAATTGTTTATACAAACAATATGGGTTATGCTGAGTGTCTGCCTTCATCCTGGGAAGGTGTAGCTTTAATATGACCAAGGAAGAGGGTGCACATGTAAGCAGTCCTGCTAAAAACACCCCGGGGCCCTGTGTCTGAAATGAGCTTCCCTGGGAGACATTTCACAAACTTCCTTAACTCACTGCTACTGGAATTAGGTGTATCCTGTGTGACTCCAGAGGAAAAACTCTTGGACACTTGCCCTTGGTTTCCTTAAGACTTCACCCTACGTACCTTTTCCACCTGCAGGTTTTGCTGGGTACTCTTTTGCTGTAATAAATCTTAGCACCGTAACCATGAATATGACTATATGCTAACTCCTATCGTTCTTCTAGGAAACCAGCAAACTTGGGGGCAGAGAGTTGTGCTGAGGACTCTCAACATGTGTAATTATGTACGGTTTCACCTGAGACTCTTATAATAATGCTTTCTGCTTTTGAGTCTGTGGTCCATCTAGAATTTTTTTTCCTTCATAAGGAGAAATAAAGGAAACTTGCTTTCTTGTGTTTTTCTCTCTTGCTCATTGTGACATAAAACACAAAATAAATAGATAAAATATAAATGTACCATTTAATGGATTATTATAAACACCCATGTAAGTACCAATCAAGTCAAGAAAAAGAAAATCTATTTTGAAACCTGCATAAAGAAAACACCTGTAGTGGAATTACAGAAAAGGTGAGGGTTGAAAGATGGTTTAACATAAAAAAGCATCCTGATAGTTAAAGACTCTTCTAAGTACACATAGGTAACTAGAAGCAGAGCAAGAATGTCAAGAGTATTTTGACCTTTGGTCTAGACCAGACCTTGCCTACAACATCCATCAGTCTACAACAGCGACCCTCTGTCACAAAACACCTGTGCTGTACCTACAAGGGGGCTTCCAAAGGTTGTGGAAAACCAGAATTAAAAGATAATGGGGATCAGCAGGGAGCAGAAAAAAAGAAAGAAAATAGACAATGGGATTTTCTCCATGAACTGTTTGAAGCCTCTCATACTATCCCATATTCAGGGTGCCGTGTCTGAAAGAACATCTCAAAGTTCCTAAGAAGTGCTCTCATCTAAGCAGTATTTATGACAAAGCGGGGAAATATACAAATTCAAAGAGCAGAAAAGACTAAAGAAATCTCGCTACCATGAATAAGAAGCTAACATCTAATCTTTCAAATGCAATTTACCTTATGTCCTATTCCCTGCTCATCTAAATCTTACTCCTTCAAGATCCAGCATTCGCTTATTTTCACTGGGAAACACTCTCTCCCTAAACACTCACTTATTCAAGTCTTTGTTGAATCTCTACTAGATGCTAGGACCTAGGCATAAATAAAGATTTACCATGGGAGATAAGGGCATTGACCAGGCTTACAGGCTTACCTCATTTGTGTATGGTATTTCTTAAAGAAAGAAAATAAAATGAATCCTTCCTAAAGGTGAATCTGTCTATAGCAAAGGGACCTTCTCAACCACATAATCCATCACTACATAACAGTCATACAAATCACAACTTCTCAAACGTACTGCTATTAGCCCAAATCTTTTGGTTAAGCAAGTCCTTCAACCCTTAATACTCTCCTAACCTTTCTTAATCATCTCCGAACATCCAAATGCACCTAATTCCAGGTCTAGCTTAAATACAAATATTACACAGCTCCTGCCCCAATTATACCCTCCATGAGATCCTGGCACTACAGAATCCAACAGACCTCTCTGGGTACTTAACTTCTCATGGAGTATAATTTGAATCTGATTCCACCCAGATCCTTACTCATTCTTCAACCTCTACCGGCCCTTCAAGTTGAGAACCACATTCTCATGTACACCAGCTCTTTAACTCAGCATCATGAATACAGTCACTGAATTACCTGATGAATAAAACTCAAAACCACCACTGACAATTCTGATTCATAGAGACACTGGCAGACAAAGTTAGAACTTCTCCAAAGGACTTCTGAGGCTGTAAATCTTTAAAGAAGCAAACCACCTCATCTTTCTCCTGCTGAAAGGCTGGTGGATTCAAACCACTGCCTTCCCTGTCAGTTAGCAGCTCAATGCTTAATACACTGCATCAAAAGAAAGAGCATTTCCTCACACATACGACAAGCTATGTCAAAGTTTCTACATCTAACATCTGTAGCAAGGTCAAAAAGGAAATTGATGGTAATTTATAACACTTTGACACTGGAATCTCTGGAAAATGAACTTTTACTTTTAGGTAACATGACAAGTGTTTAGGGGGCTAGCAAAAAAAAAAAATCCCAAGGCCTGTGTAGCAGAACCTCTTATTCAAGGCATCAGGAGGGGTAACAAAAGTTACAAAAGCTTTGTTCAGTCAAGAAAGTGTGGGGAGGGTGGAAGGAAAGAGCAGAAAACCAAGCACTCCACATCAAGCCTTTCCCCATTCCTCAACAGCTCTGTGAATTAACCCCTAAGACGCGTGAGGAGATAAATTTTTAATTGGTTTGGCTTCGTGGGAACCAGTGAAACAAGTGGGTTTGTGTCTAGGTCGACACGAGCGGAGCCAAAGCAGCACGTGCAGAACTGAGAGCCCAGCATTAAACAAACCCACAAGGAACTAAATGACAGGAGACTCACAAAATTAGAAATGGAGCAAGGCATGAGTACCTCTGCACTTTGTCAATCTGTGCAATTAGAAGTTAGAAGCTAAAACTATGAAGGATAAAGAAGCCCTACTAGGTAATACACAAAAATATTTTCTGGTAAATGAAATCCTGTAACAGTCTATTATGTTTCTTCAAAAATTATTTATCTAACCAGGTACTAACTGGTAATTAAGTTCCATTTCATCTACTGATTCTCAAACACTATTTTAATTCCCTAAAGTTTACTCTACTACTTGCTAAAACCCAGTCAATGCCAGGCGGATGCTTTCTTTGGGAACTAATATCTAAAGCTTAGTCTCTAATCTTTGTTTTTAAATACAGGCTCAATTCCTACCCCCACCTCACCCTGACCCACCTTTATTAAGAGGAATTTAATAAGTCAAATGTACCTAAAAGAAGAATGTCAGGAACTGCAATAAGCCAGGGCTTTAAACCAGTTCTTCTTGGTTCGGTCATGATCACCGAGATGAAATCAGAATAAACCCAAATTTGTAAAATTTCGATATAGCAGAATCATAAGCAAATGGGGAAAGTTACAGGTCAACGCCCTGCTAGAAACGTAATCTCCCTCCTAGAAAACAAGGGCAGCATGAGCGCCGTGAAGCAACCAAATCTTTTCCACAGCTGTCAGGACCTGAGCCTTTGCTCAAAGATGCTGGGTGGCCAACCAAGATGCTATGAATGTATGCTCTTCCCCACACCCCTGGCAGTAACCCAATCTCCCCCATCAGGCTCAACTCTGCCTCTTTCAAGACTCCCATTCCAAGGTTTCATCCCTGAACTCTTAATTTTCTGGTTATCATTCCAATAAACCCACATTTTACAAAAGCAGGTCTGTTTCACTTTTGCTGCATCTGCCATGACTAAATCATCCAAACTAGTTCGAAGCCCTGCGGTAAACAAAGGCATTATGTTGGGACAAGGCAGGGAAACAGACAATCCACTGTGGTTCTAGGATCCAGCTAAGTAGTATCCTAAGAGGTGAAAAAATGAGAACTTTTCCTGGCACTGGGATCCTGAACAAGAGGTCCCCACTGATGCAGTCCCAGAGAGTATCCTCTCCCCACAGAACTAAGTCAATCAGGCCAACTCTAGAGCCCCCTAGCCCACCAGTCCTCCCCAAGGCTCAGGCATTCCCCCAATCTAGCAAGCCCTGCATCCCTGCACCAGCACACGCACTAGTCAGGAGTTACAGAGAGGGCCAGCTGAGGAGTCAGCGGCCTTGGTTTATACCCTAGCTTTACTGAGTAAGCGTCAGACTCCTGTTGCACTGAGGCCCACAAACATCCCCACATCCCACGGAGGCCCTTTACCCCAGATATAGCAGCTGGTAGATACTTGGTTAGAAATCAGTGTTAGTAAACCAATGAACAGAAGGATTAGTTCAGCTTAGGAGAGCCAATTTAGGGGAGATAATACATACTATGCAAGAGTTCAGACCGCATTCAAGTTAAACATATGATAGTTAAGGTCTGCTCAAAACAGTTACTTACTAAGATAATATATTTGGGTATATAAACTCCACAATGTTATTTTTTAAAGTCGCTATTTAAATCTCAGCATGTGTGGTTTGACCTGCTTGCCTTTAAAATGGTAATATATCAACATGACATTAATACATCTTTCACAGGCTCCAACGCTCTGAGGCCAAAAGAATCTAGGCGAACATAAGCAATGGACTCATTTTTCTTCCAGACAATTCTTTCTACCTCTCAATTTCCTATTTCTCTACAAACATTTCAAATAAAGACAAGAAAAATCCAAATTTTATTCTAAACTTGAACTGTGGTTTATAAAAAAATTTCATTCACATAATCCCTCAAAATTCTGCCTAAGGGAATTAAGATACTGTGTACCGTCATCAGCAATGTACATGGTAGAAATGCTACTGAGGGTAGAGGGGACATAATCAAATTATTAGAAAGCAACAAACTATACATTTGAATTGATCACACAAAACCCTAGGTACTCAATGGGTACTGAGACTGTAAGATCAGAGAATCCTATTCTGAATTCATAGTTTCAAAGAACCAACCATTCTCATCCATATGCAAAACTGCTACTGTTCCCCCCTTCTGCCTCTGAATAAAATAAAATGAAGTGGCTTTTCTATCACAATACAAATCAAAATGGCAGATTTAGGAGTATCCAATTAGCATGAGTATGCCTCTCTAAATATTCTTTTCTCAAATGTATATTTTTAGAAAGACTCTAAGTATTTCTATAACATGTAAAATGATTGTTTTGCAGTGTGGTGGACAGTGCTATATGTAAACTAATACTCACTGTCTTTTCCTTGTGAACCCTATGGAGTATCTTCAAGTTTGATCTTTTTCTCTTCTCTCTGGCTAACTTTTTAAATTTATATTTAGCATCACAAAGAATAGAGGCTTCAGGCATAAACTAACAAGAATTTCCCAGACTCTCAGGATAACAAGAAGAAAAAAAAAAGAAAAACACGAAAGTCTTCAGAGGAAATTGATACCTGATAACCTATGCATTTTTAAATGTTACTTCCCAAAAAATGCATATATCCTAAGAAACCAAATCTACTAACCTCTACAGTCAATGTGATACATGGTTTATCCAGTCTTGACAAAAATCCTCTGTATCACCATGGTATGTTCATCCACTGGTACATATGCAATTGTATAAAGAATCTATTATTTAGAACACCAGAAAAAAAAAGTATAATTAAAAGGACTTACACTTATATAGCTACTATTTTAAAGAAAAAAAAAATAACTACTTTTCATTTCTGTGCTAAAATCTTCTCAGGTGGAGCCATGCTTTGCAAAATAAGAGTGAGGGATACAAATTACAATTATAAACAAACTGGGGAAAGAGTAAAGAATATTTCCATAAACAGAATTCATCCAGTAGAAGGAACTTGCTACAGCTTCCAAAAAAAACTGACTGGCAATTATCACTGAAGACTTAAAAAAAGAACCAGTAATACCAATATAACAAATTTTATCGTGTGTGTGTGTGTGTGTGTGTGTGTGTGTGTGTGTGTGTGCTTGTAAGAAACAATATCCAAATAAAGTGTCTGAAGTTACAACAGCTTTACATAAGAATGTTAGTAAATGGGTGTGTTATTGGCACACTATAATCTACAACTGAGAAGGTAAATTGGTTAACCTTTGACCTTTTGAGTTACTTTTGGCCTTTCTGAACATGCCTCATCCCCCTCCCTGGTTCTTATTTGTCCTCTCACCCTTACCTGTGAATAACCCCACAACAGTCTGTTTATTCCCAGGATTTCACCATCTCTCCCAAACTTCAGAACCAAATGTGTAAATCCTTAAGCCACATCCTTCATCTCTTGCCAGACAGATAACAACCCTTTAAGATAGCTTTTCTTATTATGCCACTTTACGGATGAGAAAGCATGGCCCAGATGTTAGGATCCTTGTTCAAGAACACATAAACTAGAAAGTGGCAGAGCCAGAAGTCAAAACCATCTCTGAATCCAGCCCCAGAGGTTTTAGCACTACAGTCTCCACATGGTGTCTCAATAATTCACCTAATTCATTCAACACAATAAATCTGTCTCTCTTTTCTCCATTTCCACCTTCTTACAGCGGCCTAGAAGCTGGCTATCCTTCAACACCTCCATCCCCATCATCTCTCGGGTTTGATTCTTGGAATCATCTGCAAGTCCTCCCTAATAACCCTCCCTTAGCCAGCCCATCATGTCTGCCGACTTCAGAGACTAGCTAGATCATATTACCTCCTTCCAAATCTGCTTCCACTGCCTCAAGTTGCTCCCAAGTACTGTGTTACTGGCCACTGAGAAAGCCTCCTAATTAGTGTTGCTGCTCTAGTCTCCGGATCCTTCCAGTCAGCATGCCACAGCCACATGTTAGTTCTTAAAAACAAGACCGACTCACGTTGCTTCTTTCTTAAAAGCTTTGAGGGTTCTCCACTGGCCACAGGACAAAGTCCAAACTAGCTTTGTTAGCATTCCTACACAAATGATCCCAAGCCACCTTTCCAACTCCATCTTTTACTGTCTTTTCCACCAAAAACAACAAAAAACACTTCACAAAGAGTTAAAATGCTTATGCAAATCTACTTTCAAAAGCATTAATCCTAGCAATACGGTGTCTATTCTGTCAGTTTTATGAGAAAGAACACTGACAATCAGGAAGGTAAAACTTTCTGCCCAGGATCGCAAATCATAAAAGCCAGGAAAGGCCAAATCTCAAACTTTAAAGTTCAACTTTCCCCCAATATTCCTTGCAGCCATATGGGTGGGCCCTCACACCCACCCCATCAGGTCATAGTTAACAATTTTTTCTGAAAATGCACAATATTTTTCTACCATCTTATCTTAGCTCAAGCTATTATCCCCCTAAGCCTGGAATACTAGTCTCATTCCTTAAGGCTTCCAATGAACTTGCTTCTATTAAGCATTTTGCATATCATTTTTATGTTAAACTTGTTGCCAATGAGTCGATGTCAACTCACGAGATCTCGTGCGTCAGAACTGAGCTGACATGCAACAGTTTGATTTTTTCCCCCCAGAAGAGGACTACCAGGTCTTTCTTCTTAAGTATCTCCTGGTGATCTTAAACTGCCAACCAGTTGGATAGCAACCAAGCTTATTGATTGTTTGCACCACCCAGACTCTCCTGTTTCATAGAGCTATTTACACAATAGGTATTTACAAATTATATAAATCTGTCACACTACTGAACAGTACAACGCTTACAGAATGGGACAATTTTAAGTATGCTTAGTGGTCTGGAACTGATGGGGGTAAAGCATGCCATATGAGACGGAAACCCTTCAGACAAGAGACTGGACAGGCATGAAACTTGAAATAGCTACTCGGCATCACCCATCTGAGTACACTGGTAGTTCCTGCGATTTTAACATCTCCTTTCTGAACAAGGTTAAATGCCCCCAATCTCATCAGCAATTTTCTTTATTAAATAGTACAGTTTACTGAATGCATAATTCAAAACACAAAAGGGAGAAATTTTTGAATGAAAGAATAGAAATCTTAAAAAGAATAATCCACTTCAATTTTTGACACTAGCCGTTTGCCATCAGCTGCTAAGCGAAAGTTGTCTGACCTACGCCAACCGATGGCACCAGGAAGAAAAGCCTGGCACTCTATTTCTGTGAAGATCATAGCCAAGAAAACCCTGTGAGGCAATGCCACACGAACACAGATGGCTCAAAATCAACTTGACTGCAGACCGTTGAACCGTTCCATTCATCCATTCCTTTGTTCTTATCCAGTTAAATCAGCAAAACGTAAATAATACAGACTTGATTCATTATGCAGCTTTTCTACAGACTAGGTCAGTAGCATACATCTCTATCATCTCTTTAAAGCTACTTCACTATGCCCAAGGAATCACATTTGGCAACAAAAGCTACATAGTTTCCCACATCAGATCCTTAAAAGACTAAGCAAAATTCTGACTAGGTTCTCTGACCAAACTTTGCAACTGACAGCTATGTAGCAACAAAAGCTACATAGTTTCCCACATCAGATCCTTAAAAGACTAAGCAAAATTCTGACTAGGATCTCTGACCAAACTTTGCACCTGACAGCTAAGTCAAATGGTTACACTGGAAAGTATTTGCTTTAAATGTCAAATGGCTCCACTGAATAGTATTTGCTTTAAGATTTGTAGGGACAAGTGTTGTCCCTACAAGAGTTGTCTTTATTCCAATGAAGATCAGATTCTAAGGATGCCTAGTAATTATAAAGGCCAGAATATGAAACCACTGAACAGCTGACCAGGTGAAAAGTCACAAATGCTTCCTTCCCTGGGTCAGAAATCTCTGTCCACTGCTGAAATACAACTTCAATGTCAATTTTTCCATGAACGGGCAGGGACTAATATTAAAAGAAAAACTAGCCCACATTGCTAGTACTGAATTCCATTCCAAGTCAAAGAATTATATCAACATATAAAGCAAGACAACTAGACTCTGATCTTAGGTAGTTTATAAATTTATAAACTAGAATTGCCTTTAAGAGTCAAAGCTAATTCTTCTCTACTTTGGCATCTTACCCCCAAACTGAATATGTCTGTTCAACATGAACTACAAACAAACAAATTCACTTCCATGGAGTCGATGCCTCCCCACAGCAATCCTGTAAGACACGGTAGAGCTGCCCCTGTGAGTTTCTGAGACTTTTAACTGTCTACCGGAGCAGAGCCTCAAGCCTGGTCTTTGGAGAAGCAGCTGGTAACTTCAAACCATGGAACTTGCAGGTGGCAGCCCAACACTTAACATACATCAGCATATTGCCACACTCAGTATGCCAGAGATCAGATTCCTTCTAGACATTAGCAAGACCACAAAGAGAAAATACCTTGATTTTGTTATATATTTACATTTTCCCTTCCAGAGAGGGTAATACCATCTATGGTGGATAAGAATTAAGCTAATCTTTAGAATTAGAGAATCTGAGTTCAAGTCTTTACTTTGTAATAACGGTAGCTCCATCACTGGGGCAAGAAGAGCATAAAACTCACAGGGCTGTTGTGAGGATTCAATCAGCTCATATAAGCAAAATAATTATAACACCTGGTAAACCCTCAAACATTAGCTTTACTATTATTTTTTAGCAGTTTTATTGGCATGTAGTTCACATATCATACAATAATTCAATCATATGCTTCACCACTATCCTACATTCCTTTGGGCAAGTTTCATGCTCCATGATAACTATAAAAAAGGAATTTTGGGGGGGAGGGGTGATAAATAAAGAGAAATTATCAACCCTGCTTCTCAGGCGCTACTGCAAAGTGTGGTGGGGGAAGAGATCACTAAAAGCAGACGGAACTTAATTTAAATTTATTTGGCACATGCATTATTTTAGCTGAAAAGGTAAAAAGCCTTGGTGTGAAATCTAGAAAATAGTGCTAAAAGCTAAATGTTTCTAAATAACAGACATGGGAGTCACAGAGATTATTACTGTAGCATCATCCGTATCATCTAATCAGACATTTTGCTCCTTACATAGTGTCCTATTTCCCCAATACTATAATTCTTCATAGAACCAAGCTGTGGTGTTTCTTTAGTACTCTATGGCACTGGTGAAAAGTAGTAAAATAATTGGATCAGGCAACACTTCCCTGAGAAGCTAGCAATGCATCTGATTGGAACTGTTCATCACCGTGAGCGCAGAGGAAGGCGCGCAGAGGAAGGCGCACAGAAAACAGAGCCTAGTGGTTGGTTAGGAGAGCATACTAGAGCCTAAAACACCCGGGATTCACTTCCTCCTCCACCACCACCACTTACTTACTATGGGACCTTGGGAGCCTAAGAAGCCTGTTTCTCACTCCATAAAATAAGGATAAAAATATTACTCGTCTCTTAGGATTATTCTAAAGAGAAAAGGAATACATACAGAGCACTTTGAGCAGTGTTGTTCTGGAACTATTAAGAGGGAAGAGTACTGATGACTACAATTTATTTTGAAAGATAGATGATAATGTAGAATAACCTTATCAATGGTATAACTTCAGTTATGTGGGGGGGTGGGAGGGTGTATGCATACTGTCACTTTCTTTGTTTGCCAAAATACAAGGGAAATATCCCAGCCATAAATAATAGCCAACAAAGATTCAGAGAATTTGCTTGGGTTTTGGGGGGGATGAAATCTGTAAAATTACCTTTTACCAGCCATCTCCCCTTTTATTACAGCCATTCTGAAACTAAAACTAATTTAGTTGAAACTTCTTCGCCAGTATACATGTATGTGATTTCAAGGCGAATTATTCTAAGGCACCAAATGCCAAGTATTTCTTTCTTGCTGGAAAAAGAAATATAGAAACCAAATCAGCAAATAGCTAAGGTAAGGCCCAACAAAATCTACCTTCACCTTAACTGGGAACTACACAAGTATACTAGCACACAACATATACACAAATACTTCAGCTGTTTTAGAATGATACCCCATTGTCTCTCAAGTTTTGTTACCCATTCTCACAGGCAGTTCACCGATGTTAGCATGTTTAATGCCACAAAAGGAACTTACGACATCATATAGTATGTCCATTTTTTAACAACCCAAGAACTGGGCTGTCCAGAAGGTCTCCTGCTGCTTGAGACTAACAGAGGAGCAATCAATCCTGGGGCTATTTGTAACCACACCATGAGACACAGTCTACTCGTGGCTCCATCCTGCCCAGGAACATACCAAGAGTTTCGGCTTCCACAAGAGCAACCATTACTCCTCTCCTACCAGTTCTACGTCAAAGCAGCAAGGAACGCTAATCTCTCCAAGCCAGTCTGGTCTTTAAAACAAAGATTAATTCCTACCTGCCTGCCTCACAAGGTTGTTATGAGAGCAAACGTGAGATCATACACATATATAAGTAGCTTTAAACTGCCTAGCATTAAAGAAACAAAACTATGATGTGGATAAGGAAATTCAGAAGAGGCTTAAACAACAAACTTCACAAGGCTTGTAACATCTGATACAAGCTTCAGTCCATTTAACAAAATAATAACCCCTTTCTTGTTTCTGTCATAAACTGGGGTGGGGGGGAGGATGTTAAGTAACCTAAAGCCTTTCAACTAAGCGTTCCGAATGCCATCCGAAATTGCCCTGCATGTCCTAGGAGAACACGTGTGGCACCGCACACCTAGCACACGCGGAGTGCGGGCCTGCGGCGCCTCGGGACTACACTTCCCACAAAGCACCAGGCGAGGCCGGGCGGCGGGCGGAGCGGGGTGGGATTCGTGGGGACCACCGCTCTCCCCGAACATGGGAAGCTGCGACGTCTGCGATCCGCTGCGCCCCGGCACTCCTTTGGGGACGCGCCGGCCCGGGGCTTCTCCTCCGACGAACGCCTGGCCCTCGGCCCTCCCCCTGCACCTGCGGGCCCACCCCCGGCCTTGACCTTTCGGCTGATTGCTAGGGTGTCACCGCCACGGCGTTTTCACTCGCTTTCCGAAAGCCCCGTGTCCAGAGCGGGCCCGAGCGCCCGGCCAGGGCCCGCGGTGGTCAGGCGGGCCGGGCGGACCCTGCTCGCCAGCCCCGCGGTCCCGGCCCCG